CTCTGAGTGCATGCTTTTAATGCAGGACTATAGAGAGACAGCTTCGCTTATTTGATTTTAGATTGAGGCAGACAGAGGTTCAAGCCTTTGGGTGGAAGCAAGAAAGTAGTGACTCACAGTCAGCTCTTATAAACCAGGCTTGGTCGCCTGATGGCTTGTACATAACATCAGGGTCGGTTGATCCAGTCATCCACATTTTTGACATAAGGTACAATTCACACAAACCTTCTCAGTCCATTAAAGCCCATCAAAAGCGAGTCTTCAAAGCTGTTTGGCATCATGCAATCCCGCTCCTCATTTCTATATCTTCTGATTTGAACATTGGATTGCACAAAATCATTTGAGGTGCTGAGAGAAGCCGTACTGTTCCCAATCATTTCTCCGCTCATTGTTCCCATATGTTTGGGAAATTTTGTCACTGAGACCGTCTCAATGCCTTAGGCCAAAAGAAACTCATAGGCATGATCTATGATATGGAAAGATGGTTATGAGAGGAAATCGGGAAGGAATGCTGAGGAGTATCAGCTTTTGCCCTTGGCCTAATTCTGCGATCAGGCAGCTGAAACAGTTTTTGAGTTTTGATTGGATCTAGAAGCGCTACTGATGCTTGCACAATTTCACTCGTTCCAACCTCTATCGTAGCACATAGGCTTGTCTTTAATCGACTCCCAAAGTTTTGAACTTCATAAAGTGTCTTTAGTGCTACATTTCCCTTGTCAAAGTCGATGTTCAGTGTGATGTTTAAGCAAAAGGAATAGAGAGAATACAGTGGCTTTCATGTAGCTACCATTCTATCCTTGGTCTAAACGTCACTTTGTACTAATATATCTTAAACTCCTATTTTAAGGATGCATTTTCGCATGCATAAACTGTTCATTCCCCAGTTCTGAATTTTGAGGGGGCTTTTGATGGTCAAGTTTTTATGCTTTCAGGTATTGACGGAAGTTGCACCCTAATTTTTCTTCCATACCAAAGTTGCTTTTCATTTGCAAAGTTTGGAAAGAATTTTCTTGATTGCACTTTAGGATTTGTAAAAATTAGACTTCCAAAGTGGAACTGAAAATTGTCAAATGAAAAGTGGAGTTAATTCCCCTGTAAGAGATGAGTATTAGCTTGATACTGTTTTTAATAAAATCTTCACCTTCTTATCAAAAAAAAAAAAAAAAAAAAAAAAATCCTGTAAGAGATGATTGACTTGAAAAGACTAAATTTAGTACCTTAGGAAGCTGGTGCGTAAAACTGAAACATGTTTATCCAAGTCACTTATTAAGGTAACTTTAGGTAAATTCTATGATAAATACTAGTAAGACTTAATCTGGTATAAATGATCAAGTAAATTACTATCACATGTTATCACAGATAATGTAATAATACTTGCACAATCAGTGTGCATAACTTAAATCCATTGAAGAAACACATGAATCAAAACTTAAATCCGTCGAAGAAACCCATGAAACAAGCAGTCGCTTATATAAACTCTTTATCTAAAAAGACTTAAGCAACAGCAGATTAAAGACAGGGTACTGTATTGACCCAAAAAATCAAAGTAATGTACCTGGTCTTTATGCAATGAACTCGGTATTACCTGGATAGTTTTGAAATCAAAATTGTTTTTATATTCAAATGTACATCATTAGTATAAAGATTTTTTTCCATGTGCCAGTTGCGCATATGGTACTTCCAATGGGAAAAAAGATACTTAAGGTATAATTGTTATGTTTGTAACATAAGTTGGAAAAGATTTATTTTAGCCAAAAATAAAATGGATGTAATAATACTTTCTTTATTACGTACTTCTATTTAAAAGAAAGAGAAAATTTAGAAAGTAGACGTTAGGTCCTCTTCCATTACTCGAAATAAAAAAACTCGAAATCTATACAAAGGGAGGATCTGATGACTATTTTCTCCTTTTTTTTTTTTACTCATTAGCTTGTTTGAAAGAGAGCCTTAGAGCAATAATAAAGTTATTTTGGTGTGACCTATAGATCACAACTTCAAGCCGTGAAATAGCCACTATGTTTGCATCAAAGTAAGCTGCCTACAGCACATCCTCTTGGGGTGGTGCTCTTCCACGGATCCTGTGCGAACACTGAATACTTTGCACCGGGATACCGGGATGCCCTTTCCTCATTAGCTTGTTTATTTACTCGGTTGATATAATGACATTGCGTTCTTATTCAAAATCAATTTTCTTGAACCATAAAACTGCAATTCCAGCTGCCTTATAAACCATAAAGAGAAATTAAAGTGTATAGTTCTGTTATATCTTTCCAATTTCAAGATAAATATCAAGTTCCATATTTATAAATAATCACATCTACTTTATTTATCCAATGAAATGATGATTATGAAGTTGAATATATGCTAATCATTTATATTAAGTTATCATTTACCTCGAACCAGTGAATACGTCTTCACAAATCGATATAATGGTTTATAATTAACAAGTTTATTTTCTTTATGAATATTCCCATTTTTTCTGTTCTTTCTCATTATAAAACTACAGTAAAATAAAACTTCAAGACGTAGGTTATTCATGTGGACAAATGGATCGCATACTATATATTTAGAATTTTAGAATCTCCACATTAGCACGTTAAGCCAGTTTTCGGAATGGTCATTCAAAAATAGCCAGCGTTTACCAAGTCAATGAAAAATAGCCACTATTTTGCTGCAACAGAGACCGGTCCAGCATAATATATTGGAGTTCGGTGCACCTGTGTATGAACTTCCAGCATATTATGCTGGAACTCCAACACACGGAAAGTTCCAGCATAATCTACTGGAGATTCGAGCACTAGTGTATGAACTTCCAACATATTATACTGGACCGGTATACTTTGCTGGAACTCCAGTATATTATGCTGGAGTTCTAGTGTACTTATGCTGGAACTCCATCATATTATGCTGGAGTTCCAGCATACTTATCCTGGAACTCCAGTATAATATGCTGGAGTTCAAGTATACTTATGCTGGAACTCCAGCATAATATACTGGCGTATTTTTCGGATTTTGAACAGTGTTTTCGCTCAGATTTATCTTTACATGAAAAGTGGCTAGATTTCGATTGCTTTTGAAACTGGGCTATTTTTGAACGACCACTTCTAAATTTGGCTATTTTTGAATTTCTCCCCATTAGCACGGGTGACCCCAAAAGAGGATGGTCTTGACAGAATATCTCCATTTTTTATGGTCTTAGCAAAATATCCCCTTTTTTTTACTTGAACAGCATAAATTTTTAATTTTTAAAATTTGAAATTCTTGTTTGATGGTAAACAATAATGATCGATTTATTGTTAAAATCGTTTGAATGTTGATAACTTGCACATAAACTTTTAGTTCAGACATAGTTTTTGGAGATTTACTTTAAAAATCTCAAAACTCCATTATTGGACCTTAAAAAATGTTGAAGAAGAAAAATTGGATCTTTTTGATATGGTTTTATTCGACTAAATTTTGTGATTGGGGGTTTGGTGTGTTCGTATTTGTATTTGGAAGCTTTGTTTCAAATTTGAGAGGAGATATCGGGTAGTTTGATTGAAAATGAAGTTGCAAATTTGAAAAATACTTGTTGAAACAACTCAGAAAAAGTATGCCAATCCAGTAGATGTTGATGATCAATTTAACAGATAGGTACGCAAAATATAACATCAACTCTACCGACCCAGTAGAGAAATCCCTGAAGAGCAAAAGTATGCAAATTCAGTAGATTTCAATGAACAACTTAATAGATATGTAGAGTAATAATAGCATCAACTCTACCGGATTGGTATAAAAATCCTGAAGAGCAAAAGTATGACAATCCGGGAGACTTCGATGAACAATTTAATCCGCTAGAGAAATCCCGGAAGAGCTTGTGCTGGTCTGGGGGTCATTTTCTAAATACCGTAAATTTTGAGGACATTCCGCTAAGACCACCCCTAAAAAATCTTTTTGTGTCAATCATCCATATACCCTTCCTCAAAATAATAGCCGAAAATTGCCAACCAACTCCTTTGACTATGAGTCATCAAAGGGATGAATGACCACTAGTGGGGGAAAGCGATAGAAATTGGTTGGGGGTTTTTGTTTTTGTTATAAGAAGTGCTTATTTGCTCGTTTGCAGCGCCTCAACTCGAGTTTTCGCTGTAGGATTGAGTGATGTGACAAGATCTGAAGCCAAGGTTCTTTGCTACGTCCCATAATATAATTTTATATATTAATATGTAATATACAAAAAATATACATATTTTATAAATAATCAATGTATATATTTTTTGTATATTTGGCTAGCGATGTAATTATTTTTAGTCGACATGCCAAATATGTTACAAAAGGATAAATGTGAATTATTGAAAGTACAAAGTGGATTTCACTATCATGATTAATTATTATTAATTATAATAAAACTATGAAAATTGGAGCTTCATTTCTTTTTTTTTTTCATTTCTTTTGTCATTAACACTCTCTCTATTTCAATTTACGTGACACTTTTTATTTTTCGAGATTCAATTTTTTAATTTTGACCATGTATTTGGATATATAATCATTTAAAGTTTAAAATAAAGTTTACAAATTTGAAAACTGCGTAAAATATAATATAAGTCACAATAATTTATAATTTAAGATACTTAAAAGGCATATAAAAAAAATTATGATGAAAGTATAATTCTTTACTCTTGAAATTCAAACACCTTCACATAAACTAGGAGGGATGGAGTACTATATTTCATTTGACTGTTTGCATATACATAATCTATCATAGATCTCTAAGTTGTTTGAACCTGATCCCATAATATTGATCAACGAGTGAGTGCTACACCAAAATATTTTAATAATATGAGAGGAGATTAAAGTAGCAACAGAAAAATATATCCATCCAAAATTAGTAAAAAAGCCAGCCGTAACCAAAAAGTATGAGCCACATATATTCTTTCCACACTTAGCAAATAAGAGTTCACATGACTATAAATAGTTTGAGTAGTAAACCCTAGCATTTCCTTCCTCTTTATTCTCTTCTTCTTGCACTTTATTCTTACATTTACTCCATGTCCTTTCTCTTCATAGCTACTACAAACTCGTAGCTTCTTAAGCTTTTCTTTCGATCAAATCATCTGGTATCTGAAATCCACTGGTCCGATCCGTCTGCTGCTTTATATATTAAGAATATCTTCGCGTGAAAGATATTTCAAAGGTAGCAATGGTGGATCGAAGGTATGGGAAGAGGCCCTTTTCATCCAATGAATCGGAGGAGAAAGAGGATAACACGAATACTACAACTACTACTACAAATGAAGAAGAACCTATTTTCCCTTTTTACTCAGCTCGATCTCAACATGACATGTCTGCTATGGTTTCTGTTCTCTCTCAAGTTATTGGCAACACTACTACTACTAATAATAATACCAATATTTCTTCAGTTAATTCGTCCGTGCATGGAATTAATCCATTAACCCTACCTCAATCAGCTGGTGCAAATCTGCAGAACCAATCTCAGTCCATCCAAGAACAAGGTATTACATCATACTATTATATATATTTGAGCCCCCTTTTTCCCCTTAATTAATTAAAGAATATATTTTTCCATCCTTGTTATGATCGATCTTCACTAACAAAATAAATTAAAGGGACTATTGTATGGCTTATTATATGATATGTTTTGTACTTGCATTTTTTTTCCCTTAAGCGAAAGCTTATCTTTAATTTTGTAGATTATCTTTGTGACAATAATTAATCTAAGTAATCTTATTTTTATTGTGCGTGCGCCACTTAATTTCTAGAATACAACAGTCAACAAAATACCAGGATTCTATTTTTAACAACTTCATGTTTTCTTTTTTATTAATTTATGTGATCAACAATTTTGTTATGGTTTTATCTTATATCCAAAGTCAGTCTGTAAATAATTAATTTTTATACCATCAATACAATTTAACGTGTTTTTGGTAGTTACTTAATTACCTTATATTCCATGTTATTCATTACAATAACAACAACAAACCTAGTATAATCCAACAAATAGCGATCTTGAGACGGTAGTAAGTACGCAGCCTTACCCCTTCCTTAGAAAGGATGTTTCCGGTAGACCCTCGGCTCCAAGCAAACATTTCCATATTACTGATTATGGACAATTTATAACCTTTAATTCCCTGTAAAAATAATTTTTTTATACTGTCAATATATAGAAATTAAAGTGGTGTGTTACATGTGTATGATAAGGAAATCAGCAGAGAAAACGGCATTATAGAGGAGTAAGACAAAGACCATGGGGAAAATGGGCAGCCGAAATACGTGACCCAAAAAAAGCAGCTAGAGTTTGGCTTGGAACTTTTGACACTGCTGAAGCTGCAGCTATTGCTTATGATGAAGCTGCACTTAAATTCAAAGGCAATAAAGCTAAACTCAATTTCCCTGAAAGAGTTCAACCCAAAACTGAATTTACTTTTCTCACCAATAGTACTACACAACAAGAATTTGGCATACTTGGTCACCAATTTCCAGCTACTACTTCCATTAATAATAATCTCCCTTATTTTCAACCTAATTATTTGTCTCAACAACATTTTCCTAATGTGCATCACTACGCACAGTTGCTTCGCGATGGGAATAATTTTGAGATGAATTCACCGAATTTTTATCAACAAGGTTTTGTTTCGGAATCGTTGCCAAATACATCACTGGAATTACAACAAGGAACATCTCATGAGCAGGAACAACAAGTTAGTTATAACCAGCAGCAAGAAGAAGATTTTCTGAGATTTCCATTTCATTATGGGAATTCTAATTCAAGCACTGGACCTAATACTGGTGAAAGTAATTGGGAGGATTTTGAACGTAGAAAGTAATTTCTTTGCTATGTAATTAAGGCGCAACGACTTTCGTGCTGCTGCTACGCTCTTCCCGAAGGTTTCTTGAGGATGTTCGTTATAGTTAAGTTTGTAACGATTAATTAAGGTTATTTGCTCTATCGGAAATAACTTTTCTACCTCTCAAAAGACAAGGGTAAGGTTTACGTATACCCGCCCTCCCCAAACTCCACTAGTGAGATTTTATACTAAGTATGTTGTTGTTATTGTTGTTGGTGTAAAATGCGAGTTTTTTTCCTCTGTTTTTCTTTCAGTAAATTGTAACTTTGGAAGGTTTGTTTTGCGCTTCTTGTTTAGTTATTACTACCCCGTCGAGAAAAGATCTTTTTTATGAACCTAGCTATAGAAAAATCTCATGTGATTTTCTGAGTCCATTACTCAAATGGTCACTGAACTATCTCAAATTATCTTCTAAAGTCACTTTTCTTTCGTTTGTAACAACAAAGTCACTGAACTATGTCTATTGCACTCAGAAGGTCACTCAACTAGATTTTCCAAATTTTGGATTGCCAAATACCTATTTTACCCTCTAAATTATAAATATTTTTTTTATTTTATTATTTTTAAACATTTTAATATTATGATTTTCCCTTTTTAATTTATATTATGGACTTGCCTATAGAATAAATAAATATTATTTACAAATTAAAAAAATAAAAAGTATTTAAGCATATATAATGTTGGAATAATAAAATAATGAGTATAGTAAAAAAATAAATTAGACTAATTTATTAGTAATAATAATGTTAGTATTAACAACAAAAATACAAAAATTTATTTATACAATTCAGAATAAAAGAAAATAAAGGTTGTAAAATATATATTCCATGCACGTAATATAAAAATTATTATTAAATAAATATATTTTATAATATACATCATATATTCTTAAATATTATGCTCAATTATGTTATATATATTCCGTGCACGACTTAACATAGCATATTTTATCCTATACAGATAGTCCCCCAACTTTCCGGTGACATAACTTTGTGTCGTCGGAAAGTTGGTAGAAACATAATAATATAATTGAGTATAATTTTCAAGAATATATAACGTATATTGTAAAAATACCCTTATTTGAATAATTATTTTTATATTACGTGCATAAAATATATATTTTACAACCTTTATTTTCTTTCATTCTGAATTGTGTAAATAAATTTTTGAACTTTTGTTGTTAATACTATAATTATTATTACTAACAAATTATTCTAATTAAATTTTTTTACCATGCTCAGTACTTTTTAGTTTTTTAATTTATAAATAATATTTATTTATTCTATAGGTAAGTCCATAATACAAATTAAAAAGGAAAAAATTACAATATTAAAACGTTTAAAAATAATAAAAAGAAGATAAATGTTTATAATCTTGAGGGTATAATAGGTATTTGGCAATCCAAAATTTGGAAAATCTAGTTGAGTGACCTTCTGAGTGCAATAGACATAGTTCAGTGACTTTGTTGTTACAAACGAAAGAAAAGTGACTTTAGGAGATAATTTGAGATAATTCATTGACTATTTGAGTAATGGACTCGTGATTTTCTATGTTTAAAGTTTCCATTTGTTTCTCATCATATTTCTCCCAAACTTCAATCAAGTCTTTTATTATGGTTTGAAGTTCACGCAATACAACAACAGACTCAGTGAAATCCAACAAGTAGAATCTGTAAAGGGTAATGTGTACGCAGACCTTACTCCTACCTTGCGAAGATAGAGATGCTGTTTTCGATAGACCCTCGGCTCAAGAATAGTAAAAGGAAGCAATAAATAAACAATAGCACCAACAAGGTAATAGGATAATGGAAGCAAATATAATGGCACAACATGTAATAACAAAGATGTAGGAATACGAAAATACAAGAATACTACCAAAACTACTGGTAAAAATGACACAACGTCTAATAAAAAGGAACTAGGAATAAGAATAGGAAAATATAATACTAGTACTAATACTACCAGTAGGACTAGGAGAAACTCTCGACTACCGGTCAATCCACAACCCCAATTCTCGACCTCCACATCTTCCTATCGAGGGTCATGTCCTTGATAAGCTGAAGTTTCATGACAATATATGTAAAAAAAATTCACCATCGAGTAATGATCAATAACAATTGGTAATTCTTTCCATCAGATACAATAACCGGATAAATAGAATGAGAACTTGCTATAGCTATATATATATATATATATATATATATATATATATATATATATATATATATATATATATATATATATAAAACTTAAATCTTATTTAGTTATATCTCAATTTCAGATTAACTGCTCAAGGTTACATTATTTTTTCTGCATCTATCTACTTTAATTTAGTTATATATGTTGATATTGCATAAATGATGCAATTGGTATATGGGAATTGCGTTAGTAGGCAGTTTCGTTAGCCTCTTTTGCATGGCAATGTAAGAGGTGCCCCCAAGCTTTATGTAGGTAGGGACTGAGCTATCGCTTCCATCCACTTGAAACACGTGTGTAATATATTAATTAATTTAATTTATTGGACCCTCCTTTTTATTCTTTTCTTGTAAGTTAAAGGCGTTATATTTTTATTTAATCTTAAATAAAAGGCCTATACATTAAAGCATTTAATCTATTCAGTGAAACTCTACATCCTCTTGGAATTCATTCTGAAGAAATAATATATTATGGCTCTTAATTTGCTAAGTGTTTCACCGAAGACCTGAAAAAGTCTCCTTCATCCTTAACCAGAGGTCTCGAGTTCCAGTCCCTGGGAATGGAGTAGTCTTTGTTAGGAAGCGCTTTACTCCCAATGTGGGACTTCCCGGCGCGAATCCGGATTAGTCGGCCCCAATATGGGTACCGAATACCGAGTGAGAAATTAAAAAAAAAAAAAGACTTGAAAAAGTCTCTTCATTAATAAGGTCACAAGCAGGCTACTTTCTGCTATTACAAGATCTTTATATACCAAAAAATAGAGCCTATATCTACTTCGGTAATGATATTATTTCAAAGAGGATTTGAGGTATATACGCCGATAATATAATAAACTTCTGGCATTATCAATGTATACGGTACAAATCGGGGCTACCCAATTTCACTATTTAATCAAAACAAGAACGTTGCATTGAAGAGCTCAGGCATCGAGTTCGAGATCGGGGTTGGTATCAATCGAAGCCAGGGAAGATAGACTTCGAGTAACATCGGGGATATATTAGTAACGGAAAGAGCAAGATATCCGTGATTGGTCGAGGATCGTGGCATGAATCTCGGAACCGATAGAACCGCTAACGGTTATTGATACCAATCATGAATTTTACATCCGAAATTAGAGTTATACCTTATTTAGGATTTCTCTACTATAGAAAGAGGAATCTTGTTCATTTGTAAGGGGGGAGGGACTAAGAAATAATAATACACTGCTCTTTTACTTGCTTATAACTTACTATTATTCTTATTTTTCTTAACGCTTGATCTCGAGCCTGTTCCAATCAAGTACGATAGCTTGCAACTACACTGGTTTAATTCATCTTAATCATTTAGTTCATTTATTTATCTAGTCATTTATCAATTGGCGTTGAATCAGATCACGTATCCTTATAACCACATTACAAGTTTAATTGTTACTTGTATTTCGAGGTAAACAGTTTGGCACCCACCGTGGGGCTAAGGATAATAGTGATTGTTCATTGCTAATTCTGGTATAACACACTATTTTACACTTGTTTCTTGTCAAGAATTTTATTTTCAGGTTGAATCATGCAAACTCACAAATCACATCTACACACGGCGACAACGGCCTCGAACTCTATGGAGAAAACGAGAATATTATCGCCCCAGGAGTCGAGGTGCCACGGGCTGACCTCAGAGGAGCCCCCCCCCCCAACCCGGTTGATGTCAGTTCTTGTGTTTCTTTGAACGCGGATTTAAGCGCGGACTCCGAAGGAAGCGTACACAGAGAGGGTCGAACTGGCGGTCGAGGTACACAGGGCAGAGGAGACGAAGGAGTCAGTCTCCAAGTAATATTTGAAATGCTACAAGCCCAACAAAATTCCATTGCTCAGTTGCAAAATCAGCACGGGGCACCAAATAGGGTCGAACAAGAGGTTACTCGCCGTACCGAGCCAGTGCCTGAGAGATCGGGTAATAAGACTTCGACAACTGATCCTGTTATAATGAGGATGCTTGAGGAGCTTACTAAGAGAATAGAATCGGGAGAAAAGAAAATTGAGGCCAACGACAAGAAGGTGGAAACTTACAACTCCCGAGTCGATCAAATACCGGGGGCACCACCAACCTTAAAAGGAATGGATTCCAAAAAGTTCGTACAAAAACCGTTCCCTCCGAGTGCGGCTCCGAAGCCCATCCCAAAGAAGTTCTGTATGCCCGATGTACCTAAATACAACGGAACCTCTGACCCGAATGAGCACGTTACTTCTTACACGTGTGCCATAAAGGGAAACGACTTGGAAGATGACGAAATCGAGTCTGTACTGCTGAAGAAATTCAGGGAGACTCTATCGAATGGTGCGTTAATATGGTATCATAACTTACCCCCCAATTCTATTGATTCGTTTGCTATGCTTGCAGATTCTTTTGTAAACGCACTGTGAGCATGTTATTTTTGCCCATCAAGAATTACTCCTACAAAATTAAAGAAAATATATTTTTTCCAAATTGTTTTCAATTTTATAAGATTTTGTAGGATTTTTTGTTTGCATTTTTGTGCACGTTTAAAATCATGAAAATGCCCCAAAAATGTCAAAAGTTGCATGCATTGCATATTAGGTTTTGTGTTCATATTTTAGGATTAATTAGTTAATTAATTATTTTATTAAAATAAAAATCACAAAAAAAATAAAAAATATTGTTCATTTTTATATTTTTAGCTTTTAATATTAGATTAGTAATTTCCTCTTCATTAATTTAGGATTAACTAATTTTGTAATTATTGTAAATAGATAATTAGTTTGATTTTATAGGTTAGATTAATTTAGGACTTAATTAATTTAATTAGGATTTTTAAAATTAAAGAAAAAAAAGAAAAGGAAAACAAAGAAAAAGGAAAAATGGAAAAGGGCAGCTGGTCTCTGATTTTTGGGCCATCCAAAGACCAAAATTGGTGGCGCAAATCCTATTTTTACCTATTTCGCCCAAGCCCAAATCTTCCCCACACCCGGTCCAAACACCCACTTATCAAAACGACACCGTCTACCCTCCCCTTTAATCCCAGCCGTTGGATCATCTTGATCCAACGGCTCGCAAC